GTCCCTGACAAGAAATTATATAAAACAGCCAACTGGTGCTCTCCTACAGAGTCTTCCTAATATTCAACGTATTTATATGAGCCTTGAAGTGATTTGTAACTGTCAAACCTATCATTATTTTAATTATTTATACTCATACGTGGAAAATAAGCAGAAATCTTTAGGGGATAATATAACCTCTACGACTAATCGCATCAGAGAAATAATCGGAGTTGACTACCAGTGCAAATTTCGGCTCCTAGAACCCCTGCCAGATTATGGTAACGTAGAAATTCGACATGCTTACCCCAAGTTGAAGGAAAGATATGGGGACATTACCATAGGCCTGGAACAGTTTAATATAATCCTAATTCCCGTTTACGCTTTAGATAAATCTTTCGCATACAATTATTTTAGAACGCGGTGCGAATCATTATCTTCAGACGTTAACGTTGCCAAGTTCAACCCGAATAAATCCACGAAGGAGACACTTTATGAATCACCCATTGATACATCTATCCTCGTGGATACAACGACAATAAAGGCCAGGATAGTGTCAAACGAATTTTTAAATGTATGGGATCGCAAATCAAATTCAGATGGAAAAATAGCTATCATAATTTGTTCTCTTGTATTGATGGGATTAACAATTCTCATAATCGGGTATTTTTTTGGAGGCGTTATCTCAAATTTTTTTGCAGGCATAATCTTGAAATGTTCAAATTTTTTTGCAAATCGAAAAATTAAAAGCGATAAACCAATGAGTAAATAATATATATATATATACCATTAGTATTTAAAGGCCACTAAGAGAAGAGAAGAGAAGAGAAGAGAAGAGAAGAAGAGAAGAGAAGAGAAGAGAAGAGAAGAAGAGAAGAGAAGAGAAGAGAAGAGAAGAGAAGAGAAGAGAAGAGAAGAAGAGAAGAAGAAGAAGAGAGAGAAGAGAAGAGAAGAGAAGAGAAGAGAAGAGAAGAGAAGAGAGAGAAGAAGAAGAAGAGAAGAGAAGAGAAGAGAGAAGAAGAGAAGAGAAGAGAAGAGAGAGAGAAGAGAGAGAAGAGAAGAGAAGAGAAGAGAAGAGAGAGAAGAGAAGAGAAGAGAAGAAGAAGAGAAGAGAAGAGAAGAGAAGAGAAGAGAGAAGAAGAGAAGAGAAGAGAAGAGAAGAGAAGAGAAGAAGAAGAAGAGAGAAGAGAGAGAAGAGAAGAGAAGAGAAGAGAAGAGAAGAGAAGAGAAGAGAAGAGAAGAGAAGAGAAGAGAAGAGAAGAGAAGAAAAGAGAAGAGAAGAGAAGAAAAGAGAGAGGCTTATTTTATTTTATTATATTGTATATATTATTTTAAAGTTGATATCACCGTTTTTATTTAAAAAAAATAAAGTGCCTATTTTACGACCAGGTGAGTAAGTAAGAATAAAAGAATACCCTTTATTACGATATTTTTTAGATAATTATTTTAAATTTTACCATTTTCTACGAAGAAAACGTTCTTTTTTTTTTACCAATCAGATTCATAGTGCTCAAAAATCGACATAAGTTTTTTTTTTAATAATTCTAATATATTTTTTCTATTACTTTCTAAGTTAGCTTAAATTTATTTGATGGGAATATGCCTCTTACAACTTAAACCTAATAGGTTATAACTAAACAAAAAGTTTAATAATGAAACATATAAAAGTGTTCTACTCATATCAGGACCCACTCTTCGGAAATCAATTGCTACATGGTAAATTGGCGATCTTAGCCAAATTAGTTTTAATTAAGCTTCGAGATTTAGCAAACAGAGGCTCAAACTCTTTTGCCATCTTCGAGCAAAATTCCAGGCTTATATAGTATTATTTAGGCTAAAAATCTTAATAGGGTCGTACTACAATGTTTGAGGAAACTAGGTGGGAGGGGGAGGGTCATAGCAATGCTGGGGAAGAGATCTTTAGATTTTTCTCATTATTACAATCATCTTAAAATTATAATCTATCAATAATTTGTTGCAATATATATTTTTTTATTCTATAAATTATTAAAATAATAACTATAAAAATTTTTTATAAAAAAAAAATAATCTAAGAAAAACATAATTGAGTTCCCAAAAGGGAACAACATAAATCTGCATCGAATTGTATGTTCTATCTGAGGAATAGGAATTCACTTGGTTCAGATATTGCGATTTAATTTTATGAACCAAATTTTTCAGAATGCTAAAAGTTACGGAGAGCTAACTTTATCACAATTCATTTAATATATATTTGGCTCATTTTTGTTAAGACTGTAATATAATAAATATAAATAAATAAATTTATTAATTTTGAAAAAAAATAAATAATATAATCTATTTTTAATGTAAAAATAAAATTTTCTTAATCCTTTTTCATCATTTACCAAAAAAAATCGTTTTTTTTGTTTTTTTCGTTTTTTTGTGTTTATTTGGTTATTTGTTTTTTTTCTTGTTTTTTTTATATAAAAAAAATAAAAGAAGATTTCGGACACGTTTAATAATTTTATTAATTTGCGAAAATATATAAATTTTGAGGTTTTTTTTTCAATATATTTAGGACACAACCCTAAAATGTATTTGTTAATTAATAATAAATCTAATTTTAATTTTTAAAAATGTTTAAAAATTTTGCCTTAAAATGATATTTAATTTTTGTTTTTTTCCCGTTTTTTAAAGTTTTTTTTTTAGAATAAAAGTTAATGGAGATGGGTTATTTTATGCCTATGACCATTTCCATTTCTCCAAATATATAAAAAATTTAAAAAAAAACAACTAATTTTGAGAAAGAGGGGGTTGAGATGACTCAATTAAACCTCATTAGCTAGCCTATGACCTCAAAGTAAAAGAACATAACCCTTAACTAATAGAGATATATATAACTATTTTTTTTTAAATAATTAGAAACACCTGCTGAAATTCAGGCTGAAGAAGATGCTAAGTAACTATTACATTTAATTATCATACTTATAGTTCTCGAGTATATATATATGGTGGAATTTAATTCTAAGGTAAATGAACATGAGTTTCAACTCTATCTCCTCAGATTTTTCTAAAAAAGTTTTTTTTTTTATTAGATTTGCATTATATTTTAACTAGAAAAAAAATAAAATTTTAACCTTCAACTCCGAACAGCATGCTGAGATGCTGGCCTCTAAAGGTAAAAAAAAATGGGCATTTTTGGCAAAATATATTCCCTTTAATTTTAGACCTCTTTGGATATAATTGAGCTCGAAGCGTGGCCTTAAAGTTATAAAAATTGTAAAATATTGCAAAATTTTATACAATTTTTCACATACATACAACTTTCAAATAATTAGTAATTAAAAAGTTCTTATATATTTATTTATTTATAATTAAAAAAAAAATTTATCTATAGAAGAGTACAGTATGAAAAAGAAAAGGCTCAGTTGACTTCAATGACGGAATACTTTGATTACCATATCTTTATTGATAGTCCTAAACAATGATCCTAGTAATGAGGTGAGTAGTAGCTTCAGAACTTCTAACCTTCCATTTTGAAAGATTTTCGGCGTTTGTTTATATCATATTTTTGGTTAAGATTCTAATTGTATTCTTTATAATTTTTTTTTTCTTTATTATCCCCATCGTCATGTTTTCATGATATATATATATTAATGTGTTAAAAGTTTATAAATAAATATATTTTTTTAAACAGACTTTTTAGATGTGTAAATGTGACATATTTCCTATAATAATGATTTAGATTTTATTTTTCTAAGATGATTCATTCACCAATCTTCCTATATTTTTTGAATTAATATAAGTATTATTAAGGATATTGAAAATTTTTGAGTATTGAAATAAGAATCTATTTTTTTTTAATTCTAAGGCATTTTCTACCTATTGCTTTCTAGTCTTTTCCAGACTTTCGCATATTTTATATACTCTTTATAAATATGGAAATTTCAAATTATTCCTTCGGATCATTTTATGTTGGTAAAAATCATCTCACTGTTTGAATACCACGTTTCATTGAATAAATAAGTGATAACTTGGTAATGCTTAAACAATTCAAGAACATTGAAAGCTCTAAACACAAACATATTCGGAGTTCGTTACGGACCTTCGAAGTGTAAAGATGCCAAGAGCATTTTCTTCTCTCAAATGCCTTAAATCGAGAAAGATCGATTTGGCAGGTCTTCAGAATGTGCATAAAAGGGAAAAATCTATATAAAAAAAAGAAGAGATGGCACCCTCTCTTCTTTATCATGCATATGGTCCCACAGTAGTGGTGTTTGTTTTGATAAGTTTCTTCTATCTTGATCGAGTAAGGGCCATGTCCGAAATTTATCTTCTTAGTCATCATAACTTTGTCTACTTGACCTTTCCACGTAACTCGAGGTCGTCCTCTTTCTCTCTTCCCCGGCACCTCCATGTCCAATACTTTTCGATTTACATCATTCGTCTCCCTTCTTAGTATATGATCATACCACCTTAATCGATTTTCGTTTATCCAGTCCGCCATAGGTTGAATATACCCATTTTGCTCGGAGACAGTCATTCGTCATAGGGTCGAGTTTAGTATACCCCAAGCTCCACCGTATCATTCTCATCTCCGTGGCTTCTGCCAATGTTTCACTTCCATAGAGTAACACCGGTCTTACGATGGATTTGTAAGATTTGCTTTTCACCATATTGGCATCTTTTTGTCGCACATTACACCGGATATACTTCGCCATCTAAGCCATCCTTTTTGGATCCGTGCATTGACTTCTTTTGCGCAACCTCCCTCTTGATGTAACATCCTAGGTATGTAAACCTGTCTACTTATGGGTACTTTAATTGGTCATCCAGCGATGGGGTGTCTGTAACGTTTATCTCCATGTATACCGTTTTTCGATTGTTGACCTTTAAACCATATCCAGCTAAGCGTTTTGACCACTTTTCGGTTTCTTCGAATACTTTCTCCTTTGTCTCTTCGCATAGTACTATATCATCGGCATATAGCATACACCAAGGAGATGGCTTCTGGATGTCTCTTGTTATCGTGTCCATAATTATATTGAATAAAAAAGGACTTAGATCAGATCCTTGATGTAATCCAATTTAACCCCAAAAGGTTTATAGTCTCCAACTGTCGTTCTAACGCAAGAAGTTGAGGCTTCATAGATATATTTCATAAGCCGTACATATGCGTCAGGGATATTTTGTTTTCTCAAGCACCACCATATTAAATCGCGAGGGACCGTGTCATAAGCTTTCTCCAAGTCAATAAAGACCATATGTAGGTTTCTTTTCTTTTCTCCATATTTATCCATCATTTGTCTTAGTGCGAAGATCGGATCGATTGTGGATCCGGCCACAAATCCGAATTGGTTAGTCGATATTTCCATATCGTTCTTCAGCCTTGTTACTAAGATCCTTTCCATAAGTTTCAAGGAGTGGCAAGTTAGCTTGATACCTCTGTAATTACCACACTCCTAATTGTCTCCTTTGCCTTTGAATAAGGGTATAATCGTGCTCGTTCTCCTGATTAGGAATTCGTTCTTCTCCCAATATCTTGTTAAGGAGGTTCGTCATGGTCGTGTCTCCTTCTTCCCGCCATCCGACCGATGCTTCCATAGGAATTCCATCTGGGCCATTAGCTTTTCCTTTTTGCATCTTGTTCGTTTGCTTCCTAATTTCATCCTCCTGAAAGAGTTCGACCATACTATGTTTGGTTCAATATCTGGAAGGAAATCTTTGTCAATAGCAATATTCATAAGTTCCTTGAAATATCCTTTCCACCTTTCCATCGCCTCCTACGGCTTGAATAAGGTTTTACCCTCCTCATTTTTGACTATTTTAAGGACTCCGACATTTAGACTTTTCTTCTACCTTATCTTAGCCAATTTGTACATAAGCCTGTCGCTCCCTTTATGATCCAGTTTGTTTGCCATCTCGGTGTACGCAGCATTCTTCGCTATTGCAACGGCCTTCTTCGCACCTCTCTTTGCCTCCCCATATTCTTGATAATCCTCCGACTTTTTAGATTTATGCCACCGTCTATATAGAATTTTTTTTCTTTCGATGAAATCCCTAACCGATTGATTCCACTACCATAGTTCCCTATTCAAAGCTTTGCCACCTTTGGTCTGTCCTAGAATCTGAATCGCCGTTTCCTTTATGTCTTCAGTTAGCGTCTCCCAATCGTCGTCTACGTTATTTTCTAACTTCCTGGAACCCAAGAGTGTGGAGGCTTTCTGATGGTATTTATTGTTCGTCGGCATGTCCTTTAGCATTTCATCATACTTAATTCGAGGTTCATAAACCTTTCTTCTTTCTGAAAACCCTTTTCTTTCAAGATCCATGACAAGTGGACGATGTTGCCTGGCGATTTCTTCTCCCGGTATTACTTTGCAATCTTTGATCCTCCGTAAATCCTTTCGCCGTATAAGCAGATAGTCAATGTGACTAAAATGCTTTCCACTTCTTTAAGTCACAATATGATCTTCACGCTTTTGAAAATAAGTGTTAACGATCGCCATGTCATATGCTTGGGATACTAGGAGAAGTTTTTCCCCTTCCTTGTTCTTCAGACCATGCCCATAGCCGATTTCGTTCATACTCGAGACGATCTTTTCCTATGTGGGCATTGAAGTCCGCCCCAATAATTAGCTTTTCTTCCTGTCGTATTCCTTGTATCTCTTTTTCCAATGAATCGAAGAATATATCTTTCTCTGATTCCACACACCCAATTTGAGGAGCATACGCGCACAAAGCGGTTAGGAAGCCTCCTTGATCTGCAATCTTCACCCACATTAACCTGTCTGAACATCTTTTGACTTCCACCACCTTGTCCTTGGACGATTCGCTTAGAAAGATACCGACCCCGTTTCTAGGATTTGGTGACTGTAGAATAACTTGTAACCCTCTCCTAACTCCCGAGCTTTAGTTCCATTCCACCTCGTCTCTTGTAAGCAGGCGATGTGTACCTTTCTTCTTTTTAGCAATTGTGCGACCTCGAAGCTCTTTCCCGTCAACGTACCCACATTCCAGCATGTTATTCGCATTCTATCCACAAATAACTTCCTTAACCGTTTTCATTGTGAGTCAGGCGATAACCCTAGCTTATTATTGGCATTGCACGCTGGTAATGTTAAAAAGCCCAATTCGGATCGATGTCCGAATCGAACATGTAATGAACAACTTAAACTTCTCAAAGTTTTATCGACATGTCAAACATATGTATTCTTAAATTTGACCATGACTCAGCCTTTTTTTTTGATCTAACTTTCGGTTATGAATGGACAGCGAAGATCTTCTCCAATGCCTTCTAGCAGAAGAAAAAAAAATACATTATATCATATATGGGATGTGGAGGGGGGGGGGTGATTATCATAGAAGATCAACTTAGGTGGGTTTATATATATTTTTTTAAATAATTTGATTGGTTATGCCTGTCCACTGCCTAACGTTTTCGCCTAAAGTGTAGGTGGGCGTGGGAAGATCTAAAGGCCCGCTCATTTGTAGAACCTGTATTGCACACCATTGCTCAAGCGCCTATAAACTGAGAGATAGTTATTTATTTAAGATAAAACACGGCTCATTTTTATTTATTTTTTTAAATCTAATCTTGGTTTGTTGCGTAAAGTAAGTATTTATTGCTTTCGATTATTGATTGATTTTAAATTTTTTTATCTATTTTTTTATCTCTTTATATAATATATATTATTATTATTTATTATAAAACAATTGCAATGTAAAAATATCCCGGAAAAATGACAAATGCGTTCTTCCGACTATGTCGTTTTACATAATTGTAACAATTTCTATATTATTGTACCATGGCATGGGAGGTTAGTTCTTTATTATCCCCTTCATATATAAAATTGAATTATATATATATTTTTATATTAGTAAATTCGGAATGTAAGCTAGATGATACCAGGGAACTAAACAAAACCTTCAGGTTAAATATCGAATGTAAAGACCTAAGTAAATTAGATCCGTTATTCGATATCACCTCCAAACTCGATTACGTATTGAACTCGAGGGCTTATTTCATTTCGTTACTCGTTGAAATGTCGCCGACATTGTTCGAGAGTAAAACTGTTTGTCCATTCAAGTTCAGTTCCTCTAAAAAAGTATCGCTCGTAAATTCTAACGTAAATTTGTCACTATCTTACAACTCTATCTCATCGGTATGCGACAATATGCTCGCCCTTTTACCTAATTTGATTTCCTTAAAGTTGTATTACAATAATATAATTGTGATACCTAAAAATTTTTTAAGTTACAATAGGCATCTAAAAAGTTTTTCCTATATAGGAAATTTTGGAAGTAAATTTTCCTCGGAGATATTCGTGAATAGTACCCTACTAGAACAACTTGTGTTAGACGAGACGCCATATAAAGAAATCTACTTGAATTCTAAACACCTCCCTGTTCTTAAAACATTATCCATATCGTACTCTCTCTTATTTAATAACGTTTTCTCGGATAACAGTACCCTTCCAAATTCTCTTAGATCTCTTCAACTATATGGTAACGGGTTCACGTATGTGCCGGCAATTATAATAAATTTGTTAAAGAATAATCAGCTGATTGATTTTTCAGTTAAAGAGAATCCGTTAAATTGCGATTGCGCCGCTATGGAGTTTATCATAGCGTTTAATGTATGGGTGGCTAAAAAAATATTAACCTCGCGTGACCCGCCAAATAATTTCGTGTACACTCCAACCGATTGTTTCACGTTGATGATGGGGTACGATCTGTTAGAAATCGAAAAAAAGCAGGCAAACATATTTTGCCATTCATCAAACGACTGTCCAACAAATAAAATGTGCGAATGCAGCATTGAATCCAATTTATACGTATCCTGCCAAAATTTAGTGATAGTCGCAGGGATATTCGCAAATTTGACACGTTTTTTGAGGACAAAACCGCAAAACATAACCATGGAAATAGGTCGCACGAATTTCTTAGAAAATGATTCATACATTTTATTCGATTTGAATATCGAAAATTTAACCCTTTTCCAGGGGGATATCACTCTTTTATCCAACAAATTTTTGAGCCCAAATTTATGCGCCAAATTAGTATCCCTCAAAATGATATATACGTATGTTCATGACGCGTCGCCTCTGGTCTTTAAATATTGCAGTAATTTAAAAGAAATTAACTTTTTCGGGATCCCTTTGCCACATGTGTCTACAATGTTCTCAAACTCATTTCTCCCCAATTTGGAATCTTTAAGCTTGATACACATGGAAATAACCACTTTGGAAAACATGTCCTTTCCCCAAAGTTTAAGATATTTGTCCCTAACTGAGAATTTTATAAATCAGCCAAGTGTCACTCTCCTACAAAAACTACCCAATATTCAAAGTCTTAATATAAAACTTAATGTGACTTGTAACTGCCAAACCTACCATTATTTTAATTATTTATATTCATACGTGGAAAATAAGCGGAAATCTTTAGGGGATAATGTAACCTCTACGACTAATCGCATAAGAGAGATAATCGGAGTTGACTACCAGTGCAAATTTCGGCTACTAGAACCTCTGCCCGATTATGGTAACGTAGAAATTCGACATGCTTACCCCAAGTTGAAGGAAAGATATGGGGACATTACCATTGGCCTGGAACAGTTTAATATAATCCAAATTCCCGTTTACGCTTTAGATAAATCGTTCGCGTACAATTATTTTAGAACGCGGTGCCAATCATTATCTCCAGATGTTAACGTTGCCAAGTTCAACCCGAATAAATCCACGATGGAGACACTTTTTGAATCACCCGTTGATACATCTATCCTCGCGGATACAACGACAATAAAGGCCAGGATAGTGTCAGACGAATTTTTAAATGTATGGGACCGCAAATCAAATTCAGATGGCAAAATAGCTATCATAATTTGTTCTCTTGTATTGACGGGATTAACAATTCTCATAATCGGGCATTTTTTTGGAGGCGTTATCTCAAAATTTTTTGCAGGCATAATCCTAAAATGTTCAAATTTTTTTGCAAGTCGAATTAAAAGCGATAAACCAATGAGTAAATAATATATATATATATATATATATATATATATACCATTAATATTTAAAGGCCACTAAGAGAAGAGAGAGAAGAGAAGAGAAGAGAAGAGAAGAGAGAGAAGAGAAGAGAAGAGAAGAAGAAGAGAAGAGAAGAGAAGAGAAGAGAAGAGAAGAGAAGAGAAGAGAGAGAAGAGAGAGAAGAGAAGAGAAGAGAAGAGAAGAGAAGAGAAGAGAAGAGAGAAGAGAAGAGAAGAGAAGAGAAGAGAAGAGAAGAGAAGAGAAGAGAAGAGAAGAGAAGAGAAGAGAAGAAGACAAGACAAGACAAGAGAAGAAAAGAGAAGAGAATGTATAAATAACAGAGAAATACCTAAGGCTTGGGAACCAGTGTCAAATACGTTTTATAAAACAAACTTTTTTCAATCATTAATACAGGATATAGGCTAATGAGGTTTAGTTTATTATATTTTCTATATTATTTAAAAGTACTATCATCGTTTTTCTTCTTTATAGTAGTTTGTACCTCTTCATTCCACCACCATAGTTCTTTGTATGATTTGTTGCCTCCCCTTGTCAAGCCTAGTGTCGATTTGTCAGTGTCTATTAATCTGGATGAAAGATCTGTCAACATTTCTTCATTGTAAGGAATCTATTGTTTCAATGTTTTCATTGATTGAAGGCATCTGTCATTGTTTTTAGTTTACCCCATTTGATGCATGGTTCAAGTTTTATTTTATTTTGAGGGGATTTATTTGAGATGTGTAAATCCATAACTAGTAGCTTGTGTTGAGGGGCGATATCTTCTCCTGGAATGACTTTGCAGTCTATTACATCTTTTAATCTTCTGCGAGAGATTAGCATGTAATCTATCTGTGTTTTCCTTGTACTACCACATTCATATGTTATTAAATGACGGTCTATTTTCCTATAGTATGTGTTTGTTAAGGCAAGGTTGAAATCTTGCGCAAATTTCAGTATATGCTCTCCTTCATCCTTTCTTCTTATCCAAAACCACATTGATGCCTTTTGTAGCTATTGTTTGCTTTTCCCACATGCGCATTTAAGTCACCACCTATTATGACTAGATCATCCTTAAGGATTTCCATCACAGCTTCATCAAGGATAGCTCTAAAGTCATCTTTCTCTTCTTCCTTGCAACCCGTTTGAGGAGCATATGCTGAAAGGATGTTTAGATTGACCAATGCAGAGTTTTATCTTCATTAGCCTATCAGAAATCCTGTAGACTTCTACCACTTAAGAGGTTAGATCTTGTCTGAGGATGATGCCGACACCGTTCCTATTGCTAACAATTCCATTATAGTACAATTTATACCCATCTCCAATCATTAATGTCTTCTGACCTTTCCATTTCGTCTCTTGTATGCACGCTATATCTATATTTCTCTTGTTCAACATTGATGTCACTTATCTCGTCGTACCTTTAAGTGTCCCAATATTCAAACTTGCTAATCTTGTCTTCCTTGCTTTGACCTTTATTTTACTTTTCGCTGGATGGAGGTCTACACCCTGCTCGTCGCTTGGAGGGAACGCCCTAGCTTCCATATTTTCATTTGGGTCCTTCATTTTTGTTTATTGGACAAGTATCCCCGGGGTGTCATCTCTAGCTCCGAAATTAATCTTACCATATGTCTTTACACATCAGTTCATCGAAGAAAAACCGGAAAATATTTAAGTTCCTTACCAGGATCGAACCTGAGACCCTCTGTTTCCAAGTCTTCTACTAGGCCACCCCGGCGATATAATATCTATAAAAATGTT